AAAACAGAAAACTAAAAAATAATACACTGACTACTTAAGAAAAAAATTATAACTACTATTTACTTGAATTTATAGTGTTATTATCACTATAGAAAACAAAATAAATAAAAAATGAGTGTTTAAGAAAAAATAAAAACGTATTTATATTATTATTACTAAAATATAAAAAATACACACACAAAAAAAAAAAGAGTCTTTCTGAAAAAGAATATAACTACTGCTATTATACTATTATTATTGTTGTTACTAAAAATATGAAAGTTACTACTGTAAAGCGAAATAAAAAATACCATTGTAATATTTCACTGTAAAAAACAAATTGGGTAAGAAAAATAATATAATGTTAATTAAATAATAATAATACCTGCATAATTACAATACAACATTTTTATGGCTGTCCTAATTTCTTAATTTTCAAACGTTGAGCCGTTAAACCATGACATGCACGTAAAGCTTCTCTTCTGTTGATAAATGCTTCTCGTCACGAGTTCGGCAAGATGTTTGGCGCATGCTCTCCAAATGCACAGGTGGTTTTGAGATGCGGTGCGTTTTTGTTTAATCACGCAGCCCTACCAGATGTGTTTTATTTATATTTCTTTTCCGTTATCGTCAAACTTTTCCGCTGCTTTTGTTAAGATGCTTTAATCCACCCAGTGGACTGTCCGTCTCTGTTTTCCAGACGTCTCTCCATCTGAGCTGAATCCTTTGGTGAAGGACACCAAGATCGGAGGAAACCTGATGAAGAAGCTGATGAAGCAGCGTCCCGCTCGGGTCTCTCATTTGCTGCAGGAGAACATGCCCAAAAGTATGTGTTTTCCGTTACAGTGAAGAAACTCCTACAGCAAACCACTTCCTATTTTGAAACGCAGTTTCACACTTGCTGTTCTCTTTCAGCCGTGTCCAACTTTCGCTATGATGAGTTCTTCGAGAAGAAGATCGAGGAGAAGAAGGAGGATCACACGTACCGCGTGTTTAAAACGGTGAACCGTAAGGCGACGGAGTTCCCCATGGCGGACGATTACACCGAGTCGCTGTCCTTCAAGAGAAGTGTTTCTGTGTGGTGCAGCAACGACTATCTGGGCATGAGCCGCCACCCGCGGGTGGTGCAGACCATAATGTGAGTGTCATAATGACCATTGTGAGGTCTGTACTTGATCTCTGCATCAACATCTTCAGCAGATGACTCAGTCCTAACATAGAGCTTTTTTAATCCTAATATAATGCTCTGGGGCTTAAATGAACGTCTCTGTGATGTCTTTTGACAGGGACACTTTAGAGAAACATGGTTCTGGAGCCGGAGGCACTCGAAATATATCGGGGACGAGTAAGTTTCACGTGGACCTGGAGCACGAGCTGGCTGATCTTCACGGGAAGGACGCGGCCTTGCTCTTCACCTCGTGTTTCGTGGCCAATGACTCCACGCTCTTCACGCTGGCTAAGATGCTGCCTGGTGATTATTCCCCTTTCATGTTTTGCATGAAGAAAGCGAAGCACATTTTGCCAAAATTAAGGCTCTATGATTTCCACAATGCAGATATCCAGTCATAATAAAAACTACATTTACTGTGTAATGCAGAATGTCACAGAAACTTGGGATGAATGAATCAAAAGTAGGGCATTACACTTCACGGACTAGTATCTGTAAATGTTAAGCTGCAAAAAGTCACTTCATCAGCACTTTACCCTTTCATTTGAGAAAAACTATCATCATATCAAATACAAACAAAAAACCCATCAAAATACAAATTCAGTTTACTTGAAGAAATTGTGATGGAAATATATTATTCTTGTGCTACTACTACTCATAAATAAATGATTAAAACTTTATTTTTTTTAAAGGAATAATCACACAATATTTCTTCCATGTTTTAATTTGAATAGTAAATCCCCTTTGGTTGCCAAAAAAAAAA